TTGTTTCCAATCCGTTTTATTTTACTTCCAGTTGCGCTGGGAAAGAAAAATGATAAAAACGGAACGAAAGATATTCTAAATAAGGAAAGTAGTTAGAATAACGAATGTTTTGTTCATTTTTAATTTCGGATGCTAATTATAAAGACCTTTTATTTTGGGAATTAGAGATACTATTGAAAAGTGGAATAAAAAATTGAGGTTAAGTAGGACTTATCGGACTAATTTTTGCTAATTATAAAGACCTTTTATTTTGGGAATTGGAGATATTACTGAAAAGTCGAATGAAAAATGGAGGTTAAGCAGAGTTTATCGGACTAATTTTTGCTAATTGTAAAGACCTCTTACTCGGGGAATTGTAAATACTAACGAAAAATCGAATACAAAATTGAGGTTAAGCAGGACTTATCGGACTAATTTTTGCTAATTATAAAGACCTCTTACTCGGGGAATTGGACATATTACTGAAAAGTCGAATGAAAAATGGAGGTTAAGCAGAGTTTATCGGACTAATTTTTGCTAATTATAAAGACCTTTTATTTTGGGAATTGGAGATACTATTGTAAAGTGGAATAAAAAATTGAGGTTAAAGAGGACTTATCGGACTAATTTTTGTGGGCCCGAAATTCATGGACACCGGCCCTGCAACCCTGACCCATACAACTCGTCCCATTGGCCCCCATCTGGTTCTGCCCGAAAGCAAGCCGGTTTGCCATGGGGCCCCATGTCCAAGATGGAGGCACAAAGACCCTGCCCACTGTGAGTATAAAAAGGAGAAAAAGACCAAGAGCAGTCTAAAAGCACGCCAACAGCATTCATGGCGATTTTCGCCTCAGACGCCGTTAAATATTAAGGGACAGAACATCAGATCAGTTTATAACGCCATTAAGGTGATATGAAAAGGTCATTCTATATATATATAAAAATGGGAATTCATTATATATATACATAAATGTGAATTCATTCTGTAAATATAAAAATGGGAATTCATTCTATATACATAAAAATATGAATTCACTATGTATATATAAAAATGTGAAAATATTGATAAAACTTTTCTCCAAACTGGGTACACCAAATTATTTGAAATTTTAACACGTTATTATGGAGGCCCCAAGGTGCTCGTGAAATTTCATTTTTCACAAAAAAGAAATGTGATCTTGTTTCTAGTCTAAGCTAAATAAAAAGAATTTAAAAACGAAATATGTTAAATATATATTGAAAGTATATCGTTAGCGAAAATAATTGGGAATTTTAATTGTTTTAGCAGGTGGGAATTATCATTGCGTCTCGGTATGGTAAAAAGTGTATATTTAATTGTCCGTTACGTATCACCAAACCCAAAATAATATAAATCGTAATATTAGTTCTGAAGGAGGGCAGAGCAATTGTAGATTTGAATAAAGTAAACCGAACAACGGAAAATGGTAAAGTACTCTTTCTCCAGTATTTAGAGCTCACTTTCGTCGTAGTCTCTCTTCCTGAAAAGGGCACTAAAGACAACTGATGTACCACGGCATGAATAAACATCCCCGTTTGTTGATCTCACTGAATGCAACATTTGCATATCTACATCAGCCGCCTCGTTTCGTGCAACCAAGCTAACGTGGTAACGAAACCCTCAATTACAGTCAATTTCAGAATGACTTACCAATCCTAAGTAGTGACAGATTTTTTACCGCAAATTATAAAATAGCGTGTTATCATTCATTATTTATCCCTGGGACAAATCTTCCGTGTTAGATATCCTCTCTTTCGTTGCTTATAACAGTCGCAGGTACCGCCAGCTACATTAACCCTTTGGCTACTAAGAGCGCCTAAAGGCGCCCGACGTTTGGTCCAATATTGCCTGCACGGTCAGAGGAATTTCGCCCATATGTAGAAATGACTCCACGTTCAACTGGTTAACGGCGACTTCTATGCGATACAAAAAAAGAAACACTTTGTAATGGAGATTTAACAGGTTTTCTTCTACATTGCAAAATAAAAATCCATTTAACCGAAGAAATATATTATTTAACCCTTTGGCTACTAAGAGCGCCTAAAGGCGCCCGACGTTTGGTCCAATATTGCCTGCACGATCAGACGAATTTCGCCCATATGTAGAAATGACTCCGAAATATTTCAAATGTCTGCTGAATATTTACTAGATGTAGGATATTCGTTGAATGTGTAGAAAATATAAGACAAATATTTTGCGCTAGTAGTGTAATGGATCCGGAAGTAATGAGCGGACGAGAACGAGTATGGAGTATTTTATTTATGTTGCTTGTACTTACAAGTCGGAGTCTGGTGAAAATCTGTCTGTCTTTACGAAGTTGAACAATTGTTGCTTCGAGAGAGGAGAAAATGAAGTGGTAGGAGAATATGAAGAGCCAATAGGAACGTTTGAGAAATCTATAATGAAGGAGGGAAAAGAGGAACAAGGGTCGTCATGGAAGTACAAGATTTCGAGTTATTAGGAAAAGATGTGGAATATTGGTTCGATCGAAGTTCTCTCGGAAGGAGGACCATGGAGTTTACAAATTTGGATAAGAAATCAGCCTTAGCTAACGGAACGCAAAAGCGGTGATAACGGCCTAACGGTGGGATTTAGGCGCGTTATTCAAAATATTAAATAAAATAATTCTTACGAATGAAAAATAGGCCGGACATTATACTAGGGAAGCAGGGCCACGCCTATGAATATTAGACAATTGGTGCGTTCCTTTTGGAAGGTCCGGGTCCTAACCTATTCTACTCGCCCCATTGGTCCGCATTCAGGATTCGGCAGGATACTACGCCCATTATATGGCGTAGCTCGGTATTCAAGGCAGAGAGGCTCAGGGCTCTGGTAATATTATGCATTTAATCTACAGTTAATATTAACAATCACTGAATATATTGTGTAATACGAGTAAGTCGTATAATGTGTTGTATGTATCTCAGTATCAATAAAACTTGCTCATGGCGCTGCAGCGCCACGCCTAAAAATGAAGGGCGATCGGTGCGCCCCTTGCGGCGGACCCTTGCCCTAACCTAACCAATGCACCTCATATGTTCGCATTCGACATTTCGATAGAAAGTGCATTCAGGTCCGCAATCATTACTGATGTTAGACGTAGACTTTACATCTTTTAGCTTTACTTCTTTTCTTTACCTCATATGTTCGCATTCGACATTTTGACAGAAAGTGCATTCAGGTTCGTAATCATTACAAACATATGTCAAATTTCTTTATTTGCAGAAAAAATGTTTAACATCAAGTACCGATTAACCCAAACATCCGACATACATTAAAAATTTATTATACATACGTACTAAATTAACAATATACGTTATACATTTTACTTGAAAACGCGTTATAAAATTAGTACACCACGTCTGAATAAAACGTCCAACAGAAATGTTACAACATTATAATAAATATTTTCTTTTAAACAGTATGTATCTTGGGGTGGAATCCATATTTCGCTCGGAGTGAAGTCTTCTCCCGGGGCATCGGCGCCACGCCTAAAAATGAAGTCCGAAGTGGTTGCGTCCCTTCAGGGGCCCCGCGCCCTAACCTATCCCACACGCCCCATTGGCCCGCATTCGGGATTCGGCGGCGAGCGCGTCGGTCGGCTCCTTCGCCACTGGCAGTCGGGAGGCGGCGCGCGGAGCGGGGAGGCCGAGGGCTTTCGGCGGTTACCGGAGTGACCGAGGCGAGCGAAACGAGGGAGAGCGAGCGAGACGGCGCGACCGGCTCGACCGAGGGTGCGAGCGAGACGCGCGAGCGAGTATTTTCGCTGGCCTTGACGTAGCGTCGGGGGCGATGCACCTCTGGCGAACACTGCGAGACCGGGACCGCGTCGCGAGCGGACGCGCCTGCGCGCACGCGTGCACCGCCCGACTCGCGCGCTCACGGACGCGCGAGCAGGCCCGGTCCAACTCGCGAACGCTCGACACTGACCTCACCCAACTGGCGGCCGGTGCCCCTCCGCCCAAGCCCCCCAAAGTACACTGCCTGCCAAAAGTGCGCCAAGAATTCGCCCGGCGCTAGAGTCCGCTCGCGATAGCGTGCCCGGCGCCCCTATTGGACCCCGGCAACAGGTGCGTCCGACCCGCCAATGCCGACGCCACTTCCGTTAGAGCGCTCCTCGTTTCCGGTGGACCGCTAACCACGACGAACCAAAGTCGAGTTCGGGGGTACGATAGATGGAGAAATGAGGCACTTTTAAAGTGATAGGAAGGGTCATTTTATAATATCTATATATGTAACATTTATAAAATTTAAGTAACTAAAGAAATAACAACAGGTACCCCCCACCAGCCAATGCCGACGACACTTCCGTTAGAGCGCGCCTCGTTTCCGGTGGACCGCTAACCACGACGAACCAAAGTCAAATTCGGGGGTCCGATAAATGGAGAAGTGAGGCACTTTCACAGTGATAGGAAGGGTCATTTTATAATATGTATATATGTAACATTTATAAAATTTAAGTAACTAAAGAAATAACAACAGGTACCCCCCACCAGCCAATGCCGACGACACTTCCGTTAGAGCGCGCCTCGTTTCCGGTGGACCGCTAACCACGACGAACCAAAGTCGAGTTCGGAGGTACGATAGATGGAGAAATGAAGCACTTTTAAAGTGATAGTAAGAGTCATTTAATATGTATGTATATATATAATATTTATAAAACTTAACTAACTAAAGAAATGACAACAGGTGCCCCCGACCCGCCAATGCCGACGACACTTCTGTTAGAGCGTTCCTCGTTTCCGGTGGACCGCTAACCTCGACGAATCAGAATTGAGTTGGGGGTCCGATAGATGGAGAAATGAGGCACTTTTAAAGTGATATGAAGGTTCATTTTATATATATGACGTAGAAACATTTATAAAACTTAACTAAACAAATGGCAACAGGTGCCTCCCACCCGCCAATGTCGACGCCGCTTCCACTGGAGCGCGCATCGTTTCCGGTGGACCGCTAACCACGACGAATCAACGTCGAATTAGGGGGTCTAATAGATGGAGAAATGAGGCACTTTTGACCCCTTGCCTTACGATTTAAATTCCAATAGCGATGCCATAAACAACAAAAATGTCGGTCATTTCACGGTTTGGCTGAACGTTCAAAGTCTCACACGTCTCTCACACGATATTGTAGGTGAAGAGGTTCAGGTGATACGAAGGGTCGTGAAGAAGAAAAAATGGGCACTTTTAAGATGATATGGTCATTTTATATACATATATATATACACACACACATATATATACACATGAATGAGTGATACATACGAGTGATTGATGAAGAAAATCTATCAAGTGCACCTGCTGAGTTGATCTAGACGATCGTTAATATGATCGAGAAGTCGGATGCTTCCGGTGGAACGTTACTGCGGCCGGCCTGTAGTTTTCGCGAGGCGGCCTCGAGAACCTGATAACAATCGGATGTCCCGATCTTATCGGGAATTTAATGAGGGATATTCGAGTACCTGTTGAGTATTCGAAAGCTCGATAATTATCGCGGTGTCTGAAAGTTACGCGAAAACTTGCCTAACTTCGGATCCATTTTGTCTAAATCAGATTTGCGTAACTCTACTGGGAATAATTGCCAGACTGCAAGATCATAATGATAGATGTTCAAAATATTCGTCAGGCTGCAAAGTCATAATGATAGATGTTCAGCTCATTTTGCACATATTATCATGCAATTTCTAAGTGTTAATTTTTCCAATGCTCGAAAGCTCGGTAATTATCGTAGTGTCTGAAAGTTACGCGAAAACTTGCCTAAAAATGTTAAGTTTTCAATACATAACTCAATTTCCCATCTATTCAATTTAACTACGTACCTACATTTAAACAAGGCTGTACAAGAAATATGTTCCCACCTATTAATTGAAACCGTGGATTAAACATAATCAACGCCATGTCCTTCCTACTCAACCGATGAAAATTCTGTCTCAACGGTTAATTTCAAATCGTCCGCGACTGCAGCGCCCCACGCGTCAGAGAAGCGCAGCGGTCGTTGTCTCCTTCCTCAGGATTACGTAATGCCCATTTGAATCGGTTGTCCGTCGCTAAAAAAATGTAAAGTTCTCAATACATAACTCAATCTCCCATCTATCCAATGTAATTACGTACCTACATATGAACAAGATTATACAAAAATACGTTCCCACTCATTAAAATTGAAATTTGTCAATTAACCATAATCAATGCCATGTCTTTCATCTACATACGACGCAAATTCTGTTCAACGGTTAATTTCAAATCGTCCGCGACTGCAGCGCCCCACGCGTCAGAGAAGCGCAGCGGTCGTCGTCTCCTTCCTCAGGATTATGCAATGCTCATTTGAATCGGTTGTCCGTCGCTAAAAAAATATAAAGTTCTCAATACATAACTCAATTTCCCATCTATCCAATTTAACTACATACCTACATACGAACAAGATCACACAAAGATACATTCCCACTCATTAAAATTGAAATTTGTCAATTAACCATAATCAATGCCATGTCCATCTACATGCCACGCAAATTCTGTTCAACGGTTAATTTCAAATCGTCCGCGACTGCAGCGCCCCACGCGTCGGAGAAGCGCAGCGGTTGTCGTCTCCTTCCCCGGGATTACGCAACTCCGAAGTTTTAGTGGGTCGTATAAGCGTTGCGCCACCGATCCGCTCCGAGCAGCCGCGCGCGGCTCTTCGCGAGGCCCGCGGCTTTGCCGAACATTCTGGAAAGTATTCCTCTTTGTCGTGCGTGAACTTCGATCGGGGAGTGCCCGCATTCGGCGAGGCAGATAAGCCTCGCGGTGTGCGCCCGCCGAGGCCCTGCACGACGACTGCACCGCCGGTACACACGTGCACCCGTGCGCGCGCAACCGCTCGCGCATGCGCGCACCGGCGCGCTTGGCGTTGTCGCGGTTACGGAACACCCAGTGCTACCAGTACCACGGCACCGGCGAACTGGCGCACATCAACGATTAAGGTGATATGAAAGGGATGTTCTATATACATAAATCCTGAAAATATTTATGAAACTTTTCTTCAAACTGGGTGCACCGAGTCATTTCTAACTTTACCACGTGATTATAAAGGCCCTAAGGAAGAACGCTATACTCGTGAAATTTAATTTCTCAGAGAAATATCCGATCGGATGCATAGAAAAGAATTCTTTTTGAAAAATGAAATTTCAAGAGCGTCACGTTCTTCCTTAGGGCTTTCATAATCACGTGTTAAAGTTTAGAGTTATTCGGTGCACCCTGTTTGGAGATAAGTTTTATCAATATTTTCACATTTTTATATATAGAATGACACTTTCATATCACCTTTTTGAATTTTGAAGTTTGAAAATGGAGGACACAGGTGTATGAAAGAGATACACCGAAAAAAAAGAATTCATCTAATCAAAGAAATATTTTGTTAATTCAAAGAATTAGTTATTTGTTTCAGGTAATTTGTCATAATTCATGGTGTTGTTTTAATGAGATTCGAAACCCTTTTACCGCCAGCGGAGTTTCTCCTTATGTACATGTAATATATGGGTAATGTTATGTAAGTCAATGTATTGTAATTCTGTGGCAATAATAACATTTTAAGGACGGAGAAAATTGTATTATTCTTTTAAATCTGGGGGAAGGGTTCGGTTCGGTGGAAGAACAATCGATTGTATTTATGTGATTTATATGTAGTTCACGTATACCGAGCATGTAATTTCCATATAGATCATCGCTGTACACTTCTTATATGTAGGTGCAGTTTATGATGAATTATGGAGCCGTAATATGTAGGAAATGTAAATCGGTCGAATTCTACATATAATTTGAATACAATCGAGGTATATCGTAGTTTTACCAGGATCATTTGTATATATATATATATATATTTTCCAATTTTATATGTAATTGCTTGTTTTTACGAACTAGATTGCGGGACGCCCTACCAAATTGGTTAAAATTTATAATAACGAATAAAATATAAAGATTAAATATGTAATATAAGAGTGCTATTAAATCGATATTGCTCTGAAATCCTCAAATGATCTAATTAATAAAAATTTAATCGATGAAAATTCGACGGGACTTGGCACTTTGTCGACGAGCTTATGTACGCAATTCCATATTAGTATATATGTATGGACAGGCAGGGCAGACTTTACATTTCTTTATTTGCGAAGTTATTGTTTGCAGTTGGAAGCTGAAGACCGTCGCATTTCTTGCGTAGTTGTCGCAATGTCTTGTATGTTCCTCTTCAAGATAATGCTCACGTCTTCAAGTTCGGAGATGTATGATCTTTAATTTAGTTAACAATTTAATTATCCTTCAAGTAAATCTCAAAATTTCTTAATGAGAAAATCAGAAATTAGAGAGTTTCACAAATCACAAAAACCATAAAGAGCACGCTGTACTCGATGCTATTAATCAATAAGAATTTTTAAACAACAAAAGAATAAATTAAGAAATGATGAGAAGTGATATTAATTAAAAAAGAAAATGGCAGAATTGAATTAATGCGAAAATCATAAATTAGAGAGTTTCACAAATTACAATAAATATAAAAAGTACGCTGTACTAGATCCTATCAATCAATAATCAATTTGTAAACAATAATACTATGAGAGCCTTGAACATTGTTCAATTATTAATATAAATATGTCACATTTTACATAAAATATGTTCTAGTTATGGTACATTGTAAATAATTGTATATTCGTGTACATCCTCTTATTTAATTTATGCATTTTTCATTTAATAAATTTCCATGGAAATTGTTCCTTCACAATACGGAACAGCAGAACACATTGTTGGAATTTAATTCTATGAGAGTCTTGAGCATTGTTTAATTATTAATATAAATGTCACATTTTACTTAAAAAATGTTCGAGTCATGGTACATTGTAAATAATTGTATTTTGGTATACATCCTCTTATTTAATTTATACATTTTTTATTTATTGAATTTCCATGGAAATTGTTCCTTTACAATACGGAACAGCAGAACACATAGTTGGAATTTAATTCTATGAGAGCCTTGAACATTGTTTAATTATTAATATAAATGTCACATTTTACATAAAAAATGTTCGAGTTATGGCACATTGTAAATAATTGTATATTCGTGTACATCCTCTTATTTAATTTATACATTTTTCATTTAATAAATTTCTATGGAAATTGTTCCTTTACAATACGGAACAGCAGAACACATTGTTGGAATTTAATTCTACGAGAGCCTTGGCGAAGTTCCAGGGCAAAACGAATTCGACTAAAAGAGGAACGTGCAGCCTAAAATTAGCCGAACGTGGCCTCGCAGACTGTTTCGGTCCGTTCCACTCTTCTTGGCACTCAGATGCAGCTGCGGAGGTCAAGAACGCCCGATGCGTTTCCCCGTTCGGAATTTCTACGATTCCGAATGTTTCCTGTCTCCTAGTCGGTACACTTAAGATGGTACATTCGCGGCAGGGCAAATAAATAACGCGAGTGCACTAATGAACGGCTGTTTAAGGTTAGGGCACATAATGGCCTATTGTTTTGCGGTTAAAGAAGTAAACGCTGCCTGTCGAAATCGATCCGTGGGCACGAAATTACTAGATGCTCTACTAATTCGAGATCTTTCTCATTAGGAGCTGAAAGAGCATGAGCAATTTACGATCTCTCTTAGAGGGAACAGTTGCATCAAACTGGAGGCTTTGTATTCGAAGATACACTGAATATGGTCAGGTTTTTAGAGTCTTAACCCTTTAGCCCTATTAAGAGCGCCTAAGGTGTCCGACGTCTGGTCCAATATTGCCTGCACGGTCAGACGAATTTCGCCCATATGTCGGAATGGTTCCGTGTTCAAAGGGTTAATTAGATGTTAACTACTGCTTCTGAACGATCGATTAAAGAACGTTAACCATGTAAAATTTTGTTTGTAAAATAGACGATGAAAGAAATGTTTTTTTTCATAACAAAATGTGTGAATGCTAATGCCTAATTTTATTGCCTTTCTTATCTGTCCAAACTTAAGCATTTAATTTTAAATAAATAAAGCGAAATATTCTTTTTCTTACAGTTGTATAATTAACCTGCAATTTGCCGTTTTTTAAGTTACCTTTTCTTAATTTCTTTTTCGAAAATCACCAAACTATGTACATTATTTGAACTCTCGCCGAAGTAACAAGACCTCTGCAGCTGCAACTGGAAAATCACTATTTGTTTCTTTAAAAAAATTAATTAATTTCTATACGTCTCATTAGAAGAAACCAATCTTAACCCGTTAACCAGAAATTTTTTATCATACAAGAATGACATAACGACTTTTTTCCCCATGGAAGATGTGACAACATTACTATAAAGTCCCCATTGTTAAACGAGTTGTACAAAAGTTAATTCTCCGGTTAACAGGTTAATACCGTCAATAGATATGAATTCTCTTAAATCAGCCGAAAGCGCGACCTCGCGAATGGTTATGTGCTCGCAGAGTCCATTTTGGAGTCCATTGTAGGTAGGGATAATAAATTCGTAGTGGAGGCAATGCGAAATGCATTGTTGCGTCCGCGGAGGCGCTTATGCGATTGGCTATGCGTGCATCTGCAGGAGTGCACGCGCGTGCAGGGATTAATGCACGCGTACGCGGCGGGTAGGCGAAGACAATGCTCGCCGGCATTGCGCAACCGTATTAATAAACACTATTTCTCATCCCTGAAACGAGATACGACAAGCGGATAGTATGCAAGCGGTGCCAACCAACGACCGAAACGAATCCCGCCTGAAATTAGCCGAACGACAAGGCCTCGCGGCTTGCAGCTGCAGCTGCAGAGGTCAAGAGCGCGACTTGTTACATCGGCGAAAGTTCAAATAATTGTCATTGGTGATTTTCGGTCAGAAATTAAATTTGCTTATTTATTCACACGAAATCAAATTACATTGAATTAATTTCGTTTGAAATAATATGGCGTGAAATAACTGATAAACTCATTTTTTTTTTTAATTTTGACTTAGACCACTTTCATAATTATGAGCACAATTGTCATTGGTGATATTCGGTCAGAAATTAAATTTGCTTAACCTGTCAACCGGGGAATTAATTTTTGTACAACTCGTTTCACAATGGGGACTTTATAGTAATATTGTCACATCTTCCATGGGGGAAAAAGTCGTCATGCCCATTTGAGGTGTCTTCCTGGTATGACGAAAAATTTCTGATTAACGGGTTAAGAATGGTTTCTTTTAATGAGACGTATAGAAATCGATTCATTTTCAGAAAGAAACTAATAATGATTTTCTACCTGCAGCTGCAGAGGTTTTTTCATTTTTTATATTTCATTTTTTATATGATTTAGAGCGGATGGGATTTATTTCTGCAGCCTGAAACGTAAATTCGAAATAATTGCGCACTTTCTATCTGATTGTTCATTAACGAATGATTAAAAATTACATTGAAAATCGCGTAATTTTCATTCTGGCAGTATGAGCATTCTAATCGTTATCAATACGTGTGAATTGTTTAAAAATAATTTTTCATTCCTTCAGTTCATTTTGTAATCATTTTTATATGATTTAGAGAGGATGGGATTTATTTCTGCAGCCTGAAACGTAAATTCGAAATAATTGCGCACTTTTCATCTGATTGTTCATTAACGAATCATTATAAATTACATTAAAAATCGCATGATTTTCAAAATGTTCGGGGTTTTTATGAAATTTTAATTTCGATCCATGCAGAGCTGTAAATGTGGCCACA